GCTTGGGCAGGGCTGGGGGAAGGGTTGGACTCCATGATCTTAAAATCAATGATCTTTGATTCTATGAAAAAGCTGATTCTCCTAGACCTGCCTGAGAGTGCAATGTGAGATCTTCTGTGGCAGGTGCTGGTAGCAGGGAGGTGTCATGGAGAAGACCTGAGTTAACCTGTCCATGACCTTAAAATGAAGAGTCCTCACCTGCTGAGCAGTTTACAACTTGCAGCCATCACTGCAATGCTAATTGGTGCCATAGGCCACCCAGTTGAGGAGCTGTTACACCCCAAGTTTGGAAAGTACTGCCCCAGATAGATATTTTTCTTTTTCATTTTGCCTCCTGTTACAACTAAACCAGGAAAATGCAGGTAAGGCCAGAAGGAGAGGGTGTGAACCCCATTTCTGCTGCACAACCTTGCAAAGCAAGGTACAAACTGGTCTTCAGCAAACTCATGGGCACCAACAGGTGGAAAAAAAGCACATTCACCAATGAGAAACAGGGTTTCACAGGAAAGGCTTCACAGGTTCATACAAGCTCTCCATGAAAGGTCACCTCTTAAAGAGCTTCCTCTGATTTTGTGTGGTCCTACCTCAGAAGAAGGAGTCATTGGCCACAGTGAGACATTCAGATGGGTTGAGGGACCCACTGGTCATGCTGCTCATTGTAACTAGTTCTGCTTGGAAGTTCTTAGGGGGAAGAGGTGCAGAAAAACCAGCCAGTGAAAAAGCAAGAGAACCCAACCTATCACTGAAGTTTCTTAACTTTTTGAAGCCTCAGAATCTGAAATGTAAGAACTTTTAAGCTGGTCACTGAATTTGTCAAGACAATAAAGAGGAATCAAAATTGGAGCTCTTCCCTCTCAATGTGTTTTCACAGTTTAAGAAACAGAACTGTGGATGTTCTGTGATTTTTCAGCCAAGTGCCCAATCAACAGAAATGAAGCCAAGCCCTGGCTGAAGAATTCAATTTTTGGGAGAACTTTGAGAACTGATTTGGCTCTAATGTGTATCAGATAAGTAGAAGCAGAGTTGAGGAATGTTGAGGAGTAGGACAAGACATGATCTCATCTGAACCAAGACCAAGCAGTATAGAGAAGGTGTAAAAACACTTGTCTGCACATATCCAGGCAAAGCAGAAATGACAAGGCTGAAGTCAAAAGAAATCCATAAGAAACACAAGGCTGAGGAACTTGCAACACCTCTGGGTGTGTCTGTCCAGAAGAGAGGTAGAGGAAGAAGGGAGAACTCCCTAGGAGAAGGCTGTGCTGCTGTGGGTGGGAAGAGAAGAGGAGGTGAGCTGGGACCATGAGATGAACCTGCCAGAGGGTGAGACTCCCTGTCTGAGCCCAGCATCTCTGTGGCACTGGAGAAGAGGACACCCACCCAAAAGGTGGGCAAGGAGATTCCTCTCCATGTAAGCCAGCCAGCTGGGATGTTGCAGTGCACAACGTGGCCTGTGCCAGCCCAGCAGGCTTAGAGAAGTGAGAGGGTCTCTAGGGCTCCTGAGAGCTGCCAGCTGCTTTACAGGATGGGAAGAGACACAAAACTGGAGGAGGGAAAACTAGAAAAAGACAAGCAACCAGCTCCTTTGGATCTTTGCCTCCTGCTAGAAGTAGACTTGAGGAAGCCTCTTGGCCTGTGTGTTTGCTGCACCCCAACTTAAAGCAACCTGCTCTGCCACCCCAGGCTGGACCTGGAGCAGGATGGGCACAAACCTTGTCTGAAGGGGCCACTAGATGAATCCAGAGAAAACCACAACCACAAATGGTGGTTCCTTCTCTGTTTCTAGACACCGCAGGTCTGCTTACTAAAATCAAAGGGTGATTTCGTTGGATCTCTGTTCCCTTGTTCTCTTATCAGCATTTTCCCAATTTTTGCACAAACATTGTTCATGCACATGAGCACCCAGAAGGAAAATATTTATGATGTATGATTTGGAATGGAAAGGATTAAGAAAAAATTTCTTTCCCTGTATATCCCTTGTGCATGTAATATTCAGCTATGTTTAGCAACAGTTTTTAGGCATTTATTTGAAATATTCCAGGGATGAATGCACTTCAGTGAGGCTACATTTTATGAGGGGAGTTGTATTTGTTGATAAATAATTTTATAACTTTTCTAATTCCTTGAACTTTGCTAAGTGATTGTCAAACATGTTCTTAATTTTCAGCTCTCAGTAAGAAACACAAGTAAATAATGAGTCACTGGTGGGTTTTTTTTAAAACATTTTTTTTCTCCCCCTTTGTTCCAGCAATGAGATTATACTAAGAAATGTATTTGAGTGAGAAAATCAGGAGGGTTGTTGCATCTACTTGGCAGGGTTTAAGCACAACATATTTCTGGAAGGGTGAACAGCCAGAGCCAGCATATTCAATGTTCTTCTCTCTCACTGGGGTTTCAGCCAGATGGGATGCTAATTCATGCAGCTGTGCACTGGCAGCTGCCTGTCCCTCACTTCTGCCCCTTTGGTTGCCTCCAGGAGCCACCCCAACACCTGGGAGGGAAGGGCAAGCAGTGAGTGCAGCCAGGCTGACCCGGGTTTTGCAGAGCTGGTGAGCTCTCCATGCCAAACTTGCACTGGAGTTGACTTCTCTTGCAAGGTGGCTCTGCAATGCTGTTGTTCCTTTGGCTGGGGGAATAACAACAGCAGTGGGAATTCAAGAGTGTGAAAAAGAGACTGTTCCTTGAAAACCTGACATTTCTAAAGGTGCCGTTGGATGGCAAAGGGTGATGATGAGTTTTGACTTATTCTGATGACACACACAGGCAAAAAGAACAGCACCACAAATTCTCAGGTTGCCCAGAGAAGCTGTGGCTGCCCTGTTCCTGTTCAAGGCCATGGGGCTTGGAGCAACCTGGTCTAGTGGGAGGTGTCCCTGCCCATAGCAGGGGGGTTGGAACCAGGTGAACTTTAAGGTCCCTTTCCAACACAAATCGTTCTGTGATTCTGTGAAATAAACACTGGCTTTGAAAGACCTGCTCATGTGTGTCTGCAGCTGCTGGAGAGGAGCTTCAGTTCCTGACAGAAGACAGCCTCTCAGCCTCCACATTCCCTACATGGTCTGAATGCAAAGCTCAGAGATGTCAAGGGGATGAGGTTTTGCCTTTGACTCCACTGGGCTTTGGATCAGGTCCTAACCTGGCACGTTCTTAGAAGAAGATGTGGGACACAGAGTCCAGATCACAACTGCTCTTGCTGACCTCCTTCAAAGTTCTGGGGAAGTTAGTCCTTAATTTGCCTTCAGAAGACCAGTTGAATCTCAGAAGTGCTAGCTGGTAGAACCCAGCAGCTCTGTCTAAAGGATCAGGAGAGAGAGTAGATTATACCATTGATCCCATCTGCATCCTTAAGGACTTCTGCAAACTTGCTCAATCTCTCCTATTCCATTTGAGCAACTGCCAAGTAAGGTCAAAATGCTTCAAGTACTAGAAACTTGTCAAGAAGGAACAAAGAGAAACAAGAAGAATAAGCCCCCTGAGGAGCTGCCTCCTGGACTGCAGCAAGGGAATAGTGATGTAATGACACAGGGTGAAGAGAGGGTCCAGGCTGGCTCAGCCAGAGCCCTTCCAGTTGGGAAAGTCACTGTTTCTAATGTCCTACTTCTGGATAATCCTGAATCATGCTTGGAAACTGGCAGGGACCCTTTACTGGATGCTCAGCTGCTGTGAAAGGCCCCCAGCACAGTGACCTGTTGACCACCAACAATGGTAACTCTTTGTCTCTGCTGAAGACATAATGAGGTGTGTCAGAAAACGACCTTTTGGCATTGCAAAACCCACCAGCAAGGAAAACTCTTCACAGTGACAACATCTCCATGGTCTCTGTCTCCTGTAGGAAGGAGACATTTCCTTCTGCTCTTCCCTCTGGAGACAATGTAATATTATTTCCTCATCTGAGCATCTCTAGGCAAACTCAAAGATTTAGGTTGAAGTTTTGCTTGCTTACCCCAGCTAAAACCTTGTCCCTCTGCATGTGTGTGTATGTGACCAAATCGTAAAGAACAAGAAAGTTCAGAAGGTGTTCAGAGGGAGACCATCCACAAACAATCCCTGGGCTTTTATCCAGGAAATATTGCCTTGGGATCTGATGAAGGAAGGTTTGTCTGACTGTATCCAGGAGCTTGTGCCCCTGGGTGATACAGGCAGGCTGTTGATGGAGTTTTCCTCCTCATGAGGGTTTTCGATGAGTGAAAAGCAGGAAACTCAGAGAGGAGAATGAGAAGCAATTTCAAGGTTTAAAAAAATAATTGAAGCCTGATTCCAGAAGCATCCACAAAAAGAAAGGGCTGAGTTAGCTACCCTCTGAACTGGTTTTAGCCACAGGCACACACAGGCACACATACCCAAGGTCTGCAAGTCCTCCAGCCTGCCCCAACCCTCTTGGTGGGCCCCTCTCCACTGCTGCATCTGGAAGGACAAAAACGTCACACGTTCTGATAACCACATTTTCCACCCTAACATTGCACTGGTTTCTGGCTTGCTAGCCAAGGGGCTTGGTCAGTGTTGTGTGTTTTACCAGGCAGACTTTACGGGGAAAGAGCAAACGAATCTGAAGATGCTGATGCCCAGGGTGCCTTGTACCCTTGCAAGAAGATGGCACTATACACTCCCTGCCAGACTCTTGTTTTTCTGGCTGAGACTCCCATCCTCCTTGGCTGCCCACACTCTGCAAGAGGTCCTAGGACCACGTGCAGCTTTCCAACCCTCCTTCACAAACTCTCAGCTTCTCTGTTGTTCAGCAGGTGGCAAGGTCTGGACAGCCCTGCCTCTGGTGACACCAGGGAGACTCAGATCACTGAGCAGATGGATGTGATCAACAGCTGGCCACATTGGTGGCTCACTTTTTTTTTTCCCCCATATAACTTAACCTCTTGTTCCATGGAACAGAGAAACTGTATGGAAACCCTTGGCATCCGATGCGTGGCCTGATATCCTTTTGCCCCCTAAATTCTCTCCAGGAACCTTGTTCATCCTTCATCTTTTTTTTTTCCCCCCTCCTTCTCTCTTTACATCACTGTCTCTCTTTCTTCTTCAACAAGTACTGTGGGTCTGTCTCCATCGTAAAGCCCAGAGCCATTCAGATACTCCTCATCTTTGTTGTACTGCTCTGGTCCAGAAGAAGGCATGGAGTTCTCAGAAATGGAGCCATTTTTTACATAACCTGGCAAATTCCTGTGTCCATTGAGGGTCCCTGGTATAAGTCTTGTATTGAGATGGAGGGCAAGTGCCCCTCTTGTGGCTACATTTGTGATGCTGGTGTGGGAAACCATTGGTCCATAACTGTAGGTTGTGCTCCCACTTCGTGCTTTTCTTTTAAAGTCAAGTGCTAATGTCCACCTGCTCCATGACTTCTTTATTTCTGCTTGGACCTGAAGAAAAGGGGGAAAAAAAAAAAGTGAGAGGAGGGAGAGACAGAGAGTCACCAGAAAGAGGTGTTACCCATGCAGAGAAGGGGTGAGGAGTGTGAAATGGGAAGGAACAGTAAATTCACATTAAATCTGCCCTTTCCAAATGAAATATTTGACACTGGGAGGCTTGAAGAGCTGAAAACATCGAGCTGAAAAGGTGGGTTAACTCTCTCCAAGGTTTAAGGGACAGTGAGGATCACACCCAGGAGCCAGTCACCTCAATGTACCATGAGCATCAAGCATCAGTGGGATGCACCATGTTTGGAAGTGCCTGAAGTTTCCCCTACAAAGCAGCTAGCTGACTACTTTAGACCTAACTTCCCACTTTTAGATGACTGGAGTTAGGATGAGATCAATTCCCCATCTTGGTTTTATGCTGCAGAACATTAGCAACAAACCTGCAGTTGCATTTCCCCTTAACATCCAAAACTTAGGCCTAAGAGGCCTTTTCCTGGGCCATGAAAGTAGCTCTGCTCTGCTCCAACGTGCATCCACTGACCAGCTAGTTTCTTACTTTCAAGTCATAGAGGGAATTAAGGGAAAAAAAGGACATTTAGAGCATATCACTCTGGAAATAGAAGGAAAAAAAAAAAAGGACAATCAAAAGAGCTTGCTGGTTAGGCAGCTACTCTATCAACCCACTTTTCTTCTTGCCACAGGTCTGAAATGAAGCAGCACTAAACAGCACTTCTGCTGGGAAAAAGAATGAAAAAATGTGGCTTTTTCTGCATTAGCTACTTCCAGTAGCTCATTTATTGGTGACATGTTGACCTGGATGTCTTACATGATCAAAAATGGGGACATGAACTTTCTGTAATGTGGACTGACAGATCTTTCCCTGAGTGCAAACCAGGATGGTGTCTCTAGAATAAGTGGGGATAAATTGATGTGAGTCTCTTCTGTCATCTCTGTGTGGAACCAACCTAACAAAGGAAGGAAAGAATGAAGCTGGTGACTTACCTCTCCATTGCAAAAACAGTATATGATGGCAACAAAAAATCCCTAGGAGGAAGAAGAAAATTCATGTTAATCTTGCTACATGTGGGCACCTCTTTCCTGATGGTGGTGCCCAGTGTTCCTGTGCCCCCCCTGAAATCACTTGCATTAATAATGTGCTGGATATAATGTGCACAAATACCTTGTAATGTTCAGTAGCACCTGAGAGAGAGGTAAAATCAGCCATTTCCCTGCAGAGCTGAGGATGTAGCCAAGATATATAAGCTCTCTGGGTCATGGTTTAGTTAAAAGGTCTATTTTCACTGCCAGATGTTCTGCAAAGTTTCTGAGACGTTGGCAGGTGCCAGGGAAGGTGGTGGGGTCTCTCTAGCTGTGAGAAGTTTATGAACATCTGGGCTGCACCAAAAGCAGCATGACAGGTGGAGGGAGGGGATTTTCCTCCTCTACTCTGCTCTCATGAGACCCCCTTGCAAGGCTGGAGCCAGCTCTGGAGTCCCCAAAACAAGTAGGGCATGGAGTTGTTGGAGCAAGTCCAGAGGAGGCCCCAGAGATGCTGGGAGGACTGGAGCAGCTCTGGAGCCAGGCTGGGAGAGTTGGGGTGTTCAGCCTGGAGAAGAGAAGGCTCTGGGGAGACTTCAGAGCAGCTTCCAATAAAATGCTGTCAAATCACTTTGTGAACAGAATCTCGTGTGTTTAAGAGACAGCCCTGCTTGCAAAGACAACACCTTGCACTCTGATTACCCTCCTGTCCCCACTGAAATTCTCATAGCTTGCCCCACAGTTGAACCATGACAATACCTGGAAAGAGTTGAACAGCATTTCATAGTGCATTTGAACTTGCCAAAGAATCCCTGACACGTCTGTGTATGGCATAGCCATGAAAACAATATAGTGAACACCAAACAGAGGCATAAGGACGAGGGTAGATTTCAGCAGCTTCCTGCAGCAATAAGGAAAGAGAAAGACATGGAAGAAATTAGTGGATGGAATGAACCTCCCTGCCAGGCTCCTCCATCTCAGACCTGGGATGTAATTTCTTTCTTGCTCACCTTTCTTGCTCGTCTCCTTGGGTAGGCTTGGCCACCTTACACACTTTGTTCACCTGAGATTTCAAACTGTCATGTCTCTTATGGCATGTGACACAACCCAGCCTGTTCTCCAGCATGTCTTTATGTGCTGGTCTAAGCCTCTCTGCATGCATGCCACCCTGTGATGCTCCTGTAGGTACTGGAGATGAAGACACTGAAATGCCTTTTTCAGCCTCAAACTATCCCCAGCTTTGGGCCAGTATCCTGCTCAGAAGGTGGAAGGATGACTGGGAAGACATGTATGTTGCTCCTCCCAGCCCTCAGCCTCTGACTGGCACTAAATCCCCTTGTCCAGACTGGTTCTGCTTCAGTTTATAACTGGACCTGGTCCTTACACAACCTGCAGTAGCTGATGCTGCTTGAGCAAGGGGGAATTGGACTAGATGATCTCCAGAGGCCTGTTCCAACTTCAGCTATTCTGTGATTTTTCCTGCTTATTGAAACAAGATATGAAGGACCACCTTGGGTCTGTGCCTCTTGTGCAAAGAGCACAAGAGCTGGTGGAGAGGGAAGAGCATCTGGGAGCAGAACTGTTCTAGATATCAAGGGGAGGAGGATGGTCCGGGCTGGTGGAGAGGGAAGAGCATCTGGGAGCTGAATTGTTCTAGATATCAAGGGGAGGAGGATGGTCCATTATGGGGTAAGCAGGAGGTGAAGACTCTTAGGAGTTGCTTTGGACTGCAGTGTCACCTGAATTTAAAGTAGCAGCTCCATCTCAGCATAACACCAAGGTTGGGGGCTGGGGGGAGATATAATACAACCCCAAGTACTTGGCTGGGTTTGCTCCTGAGGGAACCAGCCTTGCCTGGAAGTGATGCTAATTGAAGGATTAAACCTTCTGCCAAGAGTTACAACAAGTCACCAAGTAAAGGCAATTATTGAGAAGAGCAGACACCACTACCAGAAAGACCTGGGACCTCCTCTGTCCAGCAACTGGAAACCACCAAGGGAATTTCACACATTAAAAGGAGAAAGCCCCATCCAAACCATAATTAATAGCAAGCTTCAGCCAGGGAGAAATAAACAAATAGATAAATCAGAGCCCTGACAGGGCAGCAGAGAAAAATGGAGAGGTGTTTTCCTGCCAAATCTCATTCCTACTTCAAATGAAACGTCTTGTGTTTGGAGAGTGAGATGGCAGCAATGAGCTCATGGTTTGCAGCCCAAATCATTCTGCTCTCCCCCCTCTGCATGTGTCATGTTGCTCAGTCCAGCTCAGGAGATTATGAGAAGCCTCAGGAGCTCTCAAGCAGCTGAGGTGTCTCAGCAATCTGCTCTTTCTGGCCAGTTTTGACCGTGCTACAAATATCCTAAATTATCAGGAGAGAAGAGCTGGCAGGACAAAGGAAAACAAAACAAACAAGGAAAGCCCAGATTGCCAGTAACTAGTCAGGAATATTTCTTCCTTTCAGCCCAAGTGCTGAAACACCCACTGAAGGGCAAACTGAACAAATAGACCAAGTTTTACAAAGCACAGGAGGGAAATAAAAAAAGAAATAAATCAACTGGTACAAGTTTTAGGGGCTTCAACAGCATAAGCAATACTTTTATTTTTGTGCCCTTGGTTCCAGGCCAGCACAGTCACTGCCAAGCTGGCTGAAGAGACTCAATTCCTCTCTTTAACCTACAAGACGGGTCCCCCAGGTTGTATTTAAAGCCTTTAGGAGATGTTTAAACTGCTGTTGATTCATTCTCTGTTACCAGACTTGGAAGATGACATTCTTCTCACCTTGTTTTCTGTGTCTACAGTGTAGACACCATGAACTAGTCACCCTGGGCTCCCTCTGTGGATGTAAAACGGGGTCTTTGACATCTCCCAAGAGGTGGAGAGGCTCACCTGTACTCATCTGAGACCTGAGACCTGAGAGACTCACCTGTACTGTTGCCTTGAGTCACACCTCCCTGCGTTTGTCTCTCGTAGCTTGGTTGCTAGGACTCTGATAATGTTGATAAAAAGAATAAAATTTACCTGGAAGAGGTGGGGGAAAAAGCACAACAAAGAGAGCAACTGTTAAATAAGATCAAGACCGTGCCAGTGGTGTTCAGTCAATCCTTTCCCCAAGGTGAGTGAAGGGGCTGTGGCACACAGTGACCTGGTCCTGCTGTGTGTGAAGCTCCTCCTGGGAGACCTGGTGGTGTGGGAGGCATGAGCTCCACAGGAAATCCCAATGTTTGGTGGGATTTGGTCAGCTGTGTTTAACCTGCATGACTGAGAGAGAGAAGGGAATGGCTTTCTCTGTCAGAGCCTGGGCATCTCACATGGAAACACCTACAACTGAGCCAGCCTGCCCAGCAACTGGCTGTGATATCAATATATAAGGCAGTGCTCACCAGGCATTTTGAGGCATGAACAAGTGAGTATTTTTCTCATAATTGCCTTAAAAAACTCCATACAGTGATACCAGTCCTTCTCATGCCTTCATAACCTCTCAAACTTAGTTTGGGGTCAAGGGAGAAAAGAAAAATTAGGTTATGTTTGTTCTCTTGTGACCCACCTGAGATTAAGATCTCCTCAGGCTAAGAGAAGCATTAGTAGGTTGCCTTTCCATATTCCCATGTGCAAAAGGAAAGCAGAGCAAGGAGACTGCACCATGATGGGGACACAGAGTTGATCTAACTGGAGATGACAGATCAAGAATGTGGCAGGACAATATAACTGTAAAACTGTTGTATATCTACTGCTAACTCCTGCTTCTGGGAAGGTAGTAGGTATGGACCAGATGAGGACAGCAAGGAAATAATGTCTACTTCCTATGCAGGGAGCCACATCTATGAGCCCATCTTGTGGATTAGCCAAGCTAATCCAGTCCTACAGGAATGTGCTGATGGCAACCAATGGCAGCAAAAGGTAACGACAACATCTCATGACTATGATGCCACCTAAAAGAGAAAAATACTAAGAGATGTTTGAGGGATTCCCAGCTTTTTGGAGCTCCTCAGATATTGGTTTCACTAGGGCTGGCATGACACCTGCTGCTGCCCTAGACAAAGCCATTCCTCAGACTATGGCAAGGCCAAGAGCAGAACTATTGTGTAACCTTCTGCACTGGGCAGAATAATGGGATTATTCGGGTTGGAAAAGACCTTTAAGGTCATCAAGTCCAACCATTAAAAGAACTGCAATGCTTAAACCATGTTCCTAAGCATCACATTTACACATCTCTTTAACACCTCCAGGGATGGTGACTCAACCACCTCCTTGGGCAGCCTATTCCAGTCCACACTGCTGGGCTGCCACTGGTGCCTATGGATTTCTCTGGAGGCTTGCAACAGTCATTTGGCTTCTCAGATGCCAGTATAGCAGCATTGCAAGGAAACAGATTACCATGCCACACACAGGGTCATAGCTTTATGCCAGAACGGGCCATTGTGAGCCTCTAGTTTGATCTCCTGCAAAACTCAGTCCATAAGACCTCCTTGTATTCATTTCTGTTTGAGCTAGAGCAGATCTGGGCTTCAGTGTTTCCATGACGGAGATCCTACCACAACCATTGGTAAATTGTTCCAAGGGTTCATTATCCTCACTGTTAAAACAAGTAGTTCCCTGAGCTGCTGGAGGAGCACAGCTTGGTTTGCTATGGCTTTGTCTTCTGTGGTTGGATTCTTTCTCCTTTAACGAGGTGCAAGTTCCTTTTGAACAGCTCTGCTCTGTGTTAAGAAGGGGGTAAGGTCCTATTACACCCTGTTCCTTGGAGGGCCAGGAGTAGAATTTCTCTCCTGTATCTGTTTGACTATTTTCAGGAGGTTTGTGGGAATGTAACATCCATGGAGCCCCATTCCCTTAGTTCCATTTGGTTGGAATTTACTGACTGGCACAAAAATTATAAGGGAGGGATGGACAGACCTAGGGACAGAGAAGCACACAGCCCGGGGACACACAACTCATTCTCATTGGCATCCAATCTGAAAGGGGAGTGAGGGGGAAAGCCAGGCTTTGTTTCCCACATGAGTTTTTCTAACTTCAAAGGCTCAAAAGTGGGATCTTGCTCTGCACATTTGTCAGCTTCATTGAACATGTCCAACCTTATCATCGTCAAGGGGGAAACTCCTATAACTTCCTGAAACGTGTGCTGAGTTTGAAAAGAAATCCAGACAACTGAGTTAACTTAAAAATTAGCAGGAGAGGGGAAGGGTTTTGAGCTCCTCAGCCTTCAAATTCTCTGCAAGTACATCCAGAAAATGTATAACTTGGTCCAGCGACATCTTACCAGCCAGTGTGGGAACTGAAAAGGCTGCCAAGTGAACAATATGAGCCCACAGAAATTAAACAGAAACAACCCACAGAATATTTTTGCATGATAAATAGCTACATTTGCAAATAGACAGGGTGCAAGCACAGCTGAACCTCATGGAGAAACATTATTTTTACAAGGATGAGTCTCAATTGAGCTCTTTCTCCTCTGCTAATTGGACCTTACATTAAATGCAGTGAGGTTGCTGGCATTCCTATAGGTGAACTATCTGAACTTTATTCTCCATCCTGCTGTTTGGTTTCCATTGACCACGGTGTGGGCTTGGTGATTCGTTTCTTCCAAGGTGCAGAACTAATTGCTAAAGCCAGGTGGAGAATTTCCACAAAAGGAAATTCTGAGGAAGAAAATAAGCCCTGACCCCAAGTCCAGAGCAGCTCACCTAGTTGCACTTATGAACATAGGCACTTCAGAAACTCTCCTGCTGTTTATATGCAGATAATCTGATTTTCTTCTCACCCACACTGACCATCTTCCAAGGCCTCCTGGTTTGTAAGCCAGAAGGAAGTAGATAGAGCTTGATGGAAAACCCTCTAAAGATTATAGAGAGATTCTTACTGACTGCACTCAGCTACTCCTAGGTGAATGTAAAGGGGGAATAGGATGTGAGGGAGTGGAAAAGCTCCTTTGCATGCACTCCTCTAACCAGCAGAAGATGGACTGATGGAGAATCATGGAGGGAGCAAAGAGGGATATTAATGAGAACTGTGAAAGAAGGTTCTCTAACTAATGAGAACTCTGCTCAAGCAAACACAGTCACCCACTGATTTCCCCTTGTGCAGATAATAACATCTTTTAGTGACCTCTCCAGCTTGTGAGAGCTCATTTCTGTATCTGGATAATGTCACCTACATTCCTTCTGTCCCCTCTGGCTGCTGGGTGGGGGCTGAAGTGATCTTGTGTCAATGACTACCAGCATGCTGGATCATAGATGGGATGGTTTCATCCCACTTTTGAGGTATCCCAAGCTTCTGTCAGCTCAGCAAGGTAGGTCTGAAACAATCTAATGACACAGAAGCATGCCCAGAGAAAAGGTCTGGTCCAGCTATGGAGCCCATGTAAGGTGCCTGATGTCAAAGTATTATGACCCCTGAGGATTTCTAGTATTTCATGGGTTGGAAATACTGGCTTCAAAGTCTGTTTTATTAATGATTTTAGGGTCTTACCCCTGTGTCATGTTTATCTCATAAGCAAAACTTAAAGCTGCTCATAAACTCCTCTGCCATATGCATCTATCAAACTTACAGGCAGGTCAAATATAAGGCCTTTAGATTGGATATACAGAAACTCCACACCTTTAAGGCACAAACTGTGTTAAAAAGGTGATAAGAGTAGTTTAGCTTGGCTCAAGTCTTTGCACTGACCCAAGGCTCTGCCTCCCATTCCCCACAGTCAGCCAGTACTCACCACGATAGCTGCCAGGATGGGCACCTGAATAATCCATTTTAAATTGCCAGCACTCAAGTCCCAACACCTGAGAAGAGATTGACATCTCATTAGGAAATTATCTGTTACAAAGGCCAACAGAGTTAAGTATCTGGTTGGATAAATCCACCCTGGAAGGACAGGTTCCTCCAAAGCCTGGTGGAGTGGAAGGACCTAGCTCTAGTGAAGGGACCTCCCTCTGACCCTGCCTTCATTCAGCATGGCTTGAAAATAGCTCTTCTTCTGCTCTTACACTATTCAGAACTAAAAGAATTATTAAACACAGTTAAACTTATCCTCTCCATTTGGTGGAACAGGTCTTTCCACCATCAGTAAGACTAGTCCCTTCTGGGGACAACCCATACCTTGCCACTCCCTTTTCACCTCCTTACCAGAAAGAAAGCTACACTAAAAGTCCTCCAGCTTTCAAGAAAACAAGAGAGGTGCAAACGGCCTAACTTTAACCCTTGGAATAAACCTGCACAACTTTGCTTGGGGACTGGTCCTGTCTGAAGACATAGTGATGGTGACAATGCTGTGGTTCTGCATTCGACTCCTGTGTTTCCATCAGCCCTGCAGTCAGACCCAGCCATGCCCTATGAAAGTCTTTATCTCCTTTTCATCTTCAGCCCTTATCCAGGTGGGGACTGGAAGGGCAAACTCTTGCTGGTGTGGATGTTGGGCTAGAGTCATTCATCTGTCAAGAAGGGGCTGAACACTGTTTTCTCCCAGGTGCTTCCAGCAGCCATTGAATAGGGTCACTCAGTGTGAATTGCTCTATTTGAGTTCTCTCCAACCATGGACAGTGAAGTGCCACAAGCTTTCCTTTATCTGAGCCAGACAGCCCCCACATGGCAGCTGCAGTTTTCATTTCAGAGGCCAAATTCTGCCCAGGCAGTTATTCAAAGAAAACGAGAGGCAAGGGCAGACAAACCACTGGTGCTGACTGAAAGGCTCCGTGAGGATGAGCCTGAGCCAATGCAGGTGTGTCACACTTCAGGAGCTCTGCTACTCTGTCCTTCCAAGCCTGGAGCTGAAACCCCATTTGGAAAGCACTGTCCTCCAAGGTAAAGCCTTTTGGAAAGCTGTCTGGGGATCCCCCACTGCTGATGGATAAAACCCATTCTGTGGTCAGGCCTCTTCATTTTTGGGGGGGAAAATGTGATTGTATTGGGGTTTGAAGATTGGATGCTATGGAATTTTGTAAAAATACAAGGCCATGAAGGTGGCAGTGTGGGACCAAAGAAACAGTTGATCCATATCTTGTTCCTGACAGTAGCCAGAAGCTGATATTTAACCTGGAACAGGCAAGCAGGTAACGATATTTTTCTAGAATATTCTTCCAACAATCTGCCATTCATGGTGGTTTCCTGAGCCAGAACTTTACTGAGCATTTAATACTTCTGGAGAAATTGATCTTCCGTGAAGTTGTACAAATTCTTTTAAAACCTAAGGCCATTCTGGCACCCACACCTCCTGGAGTTACAGCTTCACCACCTCACCAGGGTCAGATCGTCTCCTCTGACTGTCCTGAACCTGCTATCTCCAAACTTCATTCCCAGTCATTTTGGATGTAAAAGCCCACTGTCCTGTCCCTGTTTGGCTGTGAAATATTCCCCTTGAACCTCAGGGATAACATCTGCAGGGGTTCAAATGGATGAAATTCTCTAAAATGAAAGAAAGAAAACCCAGGAAAAAAAACAACAACAAACCAACCCTGCCCAAACCTTCCCCAGAAGTTTTTTGCCTTCAAATAGAAATCACTTCTGGATTCGCCTGGTTCCTTTTAAACTTTTGATTCACCCACAAAGTCACCAAAAGCCCCCCAAAACCCCATCACACATACAAGGGAGGAAAGAAGATCTGATGAGACTTACTCCGTGTCGGCTAGAGTGGCTCTCACGCTGGCCCACGCTGTAACAAATACAGCAGGGAGTCCTGCAACAGAACACAGGTCAGGCAGGGTGAGTAGGGGGACTAGAGGCTCTGATATAATAAATGCAAGTGGAACAAGCTTGAGGAGGGTGGAAGAAGGAGTTTTTTAATATTCAAGCAAGTGTTGAAGGGCAGGTTGGATGGGGCTTGGAGCAGCCTGGTCTAGTGGGAGGTGTCCCTGCCCATGGCAGGGGGGTTGGAACTAGGTGATCTTTAAGGTCTCTTCCAACCTAAGCCATTCCATGATTCTATGAATTTAGACTAGGAAAGCCTGATCTTGGTCTCACACCTCCTTTGTAGTCCAAATACTAAAAACAGCACCAGGAAATATTTTCTGGAAGACAAATGTCATGGCTGGGACATCTCCACCCTGCTGAACTCTCCTGACTTTCAAAACAGGGCAGCTTGCTTTTCCAAGTTGCCAGCCAGGCATTGTCCAGGCTTAAGCACCTCCTCATCTATGTTTGAGAGATGCCCAGCTGGTCTGGGATGGAGATGGGTCATGGACTTGACAGGATTAATCATCCTATGCTTGTCCTCTAGCACTACACTGTAGATACACAGCCTGTAGGGATTGAACCTGGGTGACTGATACCTGCTCAAGCCAACTCATTCAATTTGACCCAGGAAGGGCTTCCTGCAGCATACATTTCCCAGGGTATTTGTTCCCTTCCCCTGATGTCAAGGACAGGTGAATCTGGAGTCAGGGTTGGACCATTTCCCCCAGCACAGGGCTGGATTAGAAGCTCTGTGAAGTGTGAGAGACTTGCTGCATGAAGCAGAAAAATGGTAGAATTTAGGGTAACATTTGCAAAATACTCTAGCCCAAGGTTCACTCCCAAATGGATCATCCTTATGTCAGCACAGTGACACTGGGCACCATCTTTTCCCTGTGAAAAGGAAAAGAATCATCAATACCTAATTGGAATATTCTATTTATTTTTTTTTTATGGTCGAGTTCTGCTTTATTTGTACAACTGGGTCCCCTACTGGCTTCCCTTAAAAGGCAGGATCAAATCCACAGTAGCTTCCACAAATTCCAGAAGAATAGCCCCTTTCAGGTGAAAAAAAAAAATAATTAAAAATATAAACAAAGGGGACATTTATCACTGATGACTGTAAATATGCTGTTCCCAGCCTGGGCCCATTGGAGCTCCAGGCTTAACTTTCAGCATGCACTTAAGTCTCATTAGAGTGCTTGAAGGTTTCCCTGAGCATGGAGGCTTTCCTGAGCTGGGGTGTGGAGCAGGGTGCCTGACTCCTCTACATGTGGACAACAGGGCTGTTATCTTGGTTGGAACCTTTTAAAGGCCATGGTAACATAAGAAAGCACAACTAATGCAACACAGAGTCTCCCCCAGGACCAGCCCAGCAGCACTGCCCACAAAGATACATTTAGAAGGACTGCACCCTACTTTACCATCCCCTACCATGGCTGGTGTTGGAAAGAAAATCCTTACTGCACTGTGAACCCTTCAGCCTGTTGAAGCTGAGGGCTTGGAGAAGACAATGATTTATTGTAATGAGCACCATCTATTTCCTCCTCCCTGCTGCCCAGCTATCTATGAAAAGTACGTGCGTGCTCGGAGCTACTGGCTGAGCTACCCCAGGATTAAAGGCATAGAACTTTGCTGATATCACTGGGGATGTTCCAGGTTGTATGAGAAACTGGCTGTGCTGAGAGGCAGAAATGCCTGCTGCCTGCCTGAGAGAGGGGAGGTGTTGACCCTCTCCTGTGAAGCTCTAAGCTTGAAATATGGATTGTTTCAGAGATCTGCTTGTGTCTGACATGTACTTGTTCCTATCTAGCCTGTTCTGTACCTCAGAAAAGTCACTGTTCCCATTCACCCTGTTCTTGTGCTGTGTTCAAGGTTCCTAACAACAATCAAATAGACAGGAGAAAATAATTATACCTAAAAAAATGCCTCTGTGTGGATTTATTGTGCCCTGTGCACTGTTGCCTCGTTCTGTTCAGGCAAGCTTAGGAAAAGGATCCTCGACATTTTTTTTTGCAGAACACACCAAGTGAATTCCTGGCACCAGTTTTAGTGCTACACTTGTATTTCTGCATCCTCTGATTATTTATTTATTTATTTATTTATTTTTGGTGATGTGAACAATCATAAATTTACAAATGTGGTACTAATCCTCCCCCCTCACTTTCCTCTGCTCCATTTTTACATTCTCTCTATGTCAATGTGACAGGCAGAGTTTGGGCTCTCAGGCAGCTTCCAGAGTTCAATAATCTCCTCCTCTGGCAGGGTAGTCTTTCAACTTAAAGAGTCTGAAGGCTTAGCTTTGCCACCAGCTTTCAGAGGGTGATCACCTGTGGTGTTCCTGTGTGACCTGCTCTAGGTGATCCTGCTCTAGTAGGGGGGTTGGACTAGATGATCTTCAGAGGTCCCTTCCAACCCTGACGACTCTGTGACTCTATGACTGACTTTTCTACTGTATCCTCTTGAAAGTCCTGGTCTGTGATGACCCAAGGCTGACAATCCCCTCTGCTGAGCACTCACAGTGCTCCTTGATGGGAGAGCAACCGATGAGAAAATCAGGACTCAGGTCCTTGAAGTCTGACATCCAAAGACACCCACAAACAGCAAGATAGCCAAGAGGGCCCTCAGAAGGAAAGCCAGACGTGGCTCCACGCATCTGGCCACCCCACCAGCAGAAAGAAAGTGACTTTCCATAAAGCCTGGGATCTCCTGGGTGTCCATGAGCACAGACAGGTGCAGGCATGGATGGATACGTGCATGTCCTCCCCCTTGTGTGTGGGCACCCCCCGAGCAGGAGCGGGGTGATGCAGGGTGACCCCGGCGGTGCCGCGAGCGACTTCTACAGAATCCACATTGTATGCGCTGTGCATTTCCAGTCCATACACACAGTGTGTACAATGCAGGTGCTATAAAGTCAGGTATCTCCCCATCAGCTGGAAAAAGTGCAAAACCTCAAGCTGGGCAAAGTCTGGTGACCATCCCAACCCCCTCTGTTGCTTTTCCTGTGTACGTGCCCCTAGCAGTTGGAAGAGTGGCTTTCATGCACCTGGCAAAGCTGTGGAGAAGGGAGGTGGTTGCAAAGTGACTGTTATAGGAGAAGAAAGCTTGTGAATAGACCTTGTGTAGGTCTGAAGAAAGCTGGTCTCAGCTCCCTGCTATTTGAAAACCTCTCTGAGGAACAATGCATGTGTTTTTTCAGTCCCTCTGTGCCACGGTTTCCTAATATTAAATAGGGTTAATAATACTCTCCAATGCCTCTTGTCCTGTTGGGTCCACATATGTTCAGGTGAGGATCATTTCTGCTTAGATCAACATGCAGGGCTCACCAACATGGGATTTTTTGGACCTGAGCACCTCTAACAACAGCACACCAATCCATTTCTCTTTTCCAGGTCTCCCTACAACCCTCATTTGCACCATAGCTGAAAACCAGTGCAGTCCAGCCAGAGGTGGAATTAACATGGTGTGAAGGAGAAATGCCAGTGGAATCAGCTTGGGTTTTCTAGCTGTTGGTCATGCTTCTTAGACTTCCTTCATAAAACAGCTGTGGGGAATTTGAAGTCTGTTGGGGAATTTATTGTTGCCAATGCCATTGCAGTGTCATTATTTATTTATTTCTGTAGGGTGCTGGCAAGGAGCAAGCTCCTCTCTGTCACCAGAGTCTCCCTTGCAAGAAGGACACTCTGGCTCCCACGGAGCTGTGCTCCCTTGTTCCAGTGAGGATGTGGATTGAAAAGACTGGACAGAGATCTCTGGGTCTGACATCAAAGGCTAACTATATGTTCTGGTTTCCTCAGCAGTCTGGAAATGTTGTAGGGTGATTTTTACTCCCTGTCCCCACTTTGGAAATTTCCAGGCAGGATAAATCCACTGTTGTTTGTTGTTACACAAGTAAATAAAACCAACCCCAGTTTGGGGCAAACTTGTCTTTTCTGTACCTACGTGGAATGTCATCATTATTTATTGCTGATTCCCTGTCATTTATTGCTGTGGTATGGGCAGGATCCAGTGCCCACTGCAGGGAACTGGAGTTTTTCCACTGACTCCAGTGGGTCTTGGATTGGGTTGCCCTTTCCAGTGCCCAAAAGCTATCAAAGCAACACGTCTGTGCGGGTCCCTGTGTGTACATTATCATGCTAATCAAAACAAAGCAAAACCAAATACAACTGGTGGGATCCTATGTTCTCATTCCAGAGGAATTTAAATGGAGCAGCCTCAGAACTTCTGGATGCGTGTAGATGATGGGTGTTGTGACAGGTGTGACTTCAGCTTGGTGGTTGCTCTGATAAAATGATTATACTCTGGCAGTGGTTGGGAGAATTAATGAAAGGAACCCAGGCCTGGTTGACTGTTTTCCTTTGGCTGCATTACGAGCAGCATCGAGTTGTTTTTTCTTGTTAAACATGTGGCATCATTTTCCAGCTTCTTCCTTCTCTCCTAGCCTTTGCTCTGGGGAATTGCTTCTTTAAATCTGCTCTGTCCAGTTTAATGCCATTTTCTGAGAGGAAAATTTTATGTAGCTTGAAGGCTTGAAAGAGGATGGGGTTTGTTTAGTTGTTTGTTTGGTGGGTTGTTGTTTTTTTTTTCTTTTGGTTTTATTTTTGTTTGTTTGTTTTGCATGTTCTGGTTTTTGTTAATTTGTTTTAAATAAGAGGTGACATCTGAAGTCCTTTCTGGCTCACAGCAGCTGAGGTAAGAAATACCCTGTGCCCAGAGTATCTCTCTCCATTTATTTATTTTCCCCCCAAGCCACCAGCTGGCTGGAACTAGAGTTTGCCTGAGACACAGATCCCCACTTTGGGACTCACATTTACACCTCCTGTCTTTATCATGTGGCAGTTTCTGACCTGAACATGAGGTTAGTAAGGATCTTGCAGATCCCTTCTCCCCCATCACCACAGTGAAGAAGGAGGAAAGCTGGAAAGATTCCTGCAGGCTGGTCTATCCCAGACTAGTGAATCCCTTGCTTCCTCTCAGAAAGCACAAAATCCTCCCACAGTCCTCCATAAATTTGAATCTGCTCTATCTGGCTTGCTCAGAGCTCCACTGTTAGAGACACTGTTTGGTTTCTGGACAGGGTATGGTGTGGTGCACACACTAATCTGGTCCTAAAATGCAGTCAGGATGTGGCCAGGTGCATTTTGAGCTTGGAAACTGGGAAGTGGTTGCAGTCCATATGGTTTAAATGTAACCGTAGGCACCTCTGAACAGGTTTTTCCTGCTGTGACCTCCTTTGTAGACCCACACCCCATTTTTCTTAGTTAAGTCCTGGAGGATCATCTAATAGATTTCTTGTTCTACCTCACAGTCCACAAGCTTTAAACAACTGTGAGCAGTTGTTTTATTGTCCTCAGCCTACCAACACCTCATAACTCCTTGCAATTCCAAGCTAGTGCCAGAAGAGAACAGAAGGCACATTCTCATCTGAAATGTGTGTGCCCACAATGCCTTCTACTAACGAGCACCCTTCCTGCACCCACATCCCACTCCCTTTCTCCTTACTCCAGGAAAAGATCTCCGAGTTAAAAGAAAAGGGCAAAAACCCACAAACTTCCCCACAAATTGCAGGTTTCTACTGGTGAAACCTCAGGAGCTTTTTAAAGCGACTGAGGTCTGAGGTAGGAAGTCAGAGCTTAGCTCTGCTGTGAGGAGCAGATACTCACAGCCTCAGACAACTTTCCACCCCTGCAGCCCAACCCCTGTTTCTGAGCAGGAGGCCCTTGGCAGAGCTGGGGATCACTCAGAGGCTTCACTAAAATCACCTGTCACGTGTACACATCTGCTGCCCTGGCAGGATGGGGAGATATGCTCTCTCTCCAAACCTGGGCAGACCTTCCAGAGGTCCTGAAGTGCCATATTGTCAAAACACCACAATTTAGAAATGATAAAAGCTTCACGAGAAAGCTGAGCTGTCCTTGGAAGGGTCACTGTCCCTCTGATTTTCTCCTCTCCTTATATCTATGCCCTCTCTGCTTCAAAGTCTATCACCCACAGGCCTCTTAAGTCAACCATAAGGAGCAGCCATGACTTACCCCAGCCAAATAATGTGAATCCCCAAAGATACTTCTTCTCTGAGAAAAATGCCATGAAGATGAGGCTGTGGAGATAGAGCCCTTCCACCAGAATCCAGTAGTAATTGGTTGCCAGGAAGTAGAGGAAAAAGGTAACAGCTACTTTACAGCCCACCTGCAATCAGAGAATCATAGAATTGTTAAAGTTTGAAAAGACCTTTAAGATCATCACAGAAAGACAAGAACATGGTGTGAAATTCTTTCTCTGCTTAAAGCCATGAGTTGCCAAAATGGGCTGGAAAACAGGATGGAGAAAGGAAAATAAAATAAACAGTTCCACGGCAGAGCTTTTACCAGGGGGAAATCAGTACAACAGAAGAGATGGACAATTGAGAAGAAGCTTCACCTCAGCCGAACTGAGAGAGTGAACTGAGAACTGAACTGAGAGGTGCAGAAGGACAGGGTATGGGTGAAGAGATGCTGACCTGATCTTACTCTTCCCCTTCTTGGACAGCTCTGTTTAATTTTTTTCCTGTGTTTCTTGTCCAAGTTAGAGGACAAAGGGCTGTGGCAAAGTCATCTTGGTGAGGGTGTTCTGATGCAGCCACAACTTCTCTGGGCAAGGTGGGCCAGAGTCTCACCTCCCTCACAGCAAAGAATTTCTCCCTCCCATCTCAGCTCCAGCTCCCTCTGCCAGCTGGAAACCCTTCCCCCTGCTCCCATCCCTCCCTGCCCTTGTCCCAAGCCCCTCCCCAGCTTTCCTGGAGCCCCTTCAGGCCCTGGAAGCTGCTCTCAGCTCTCCCTGGAGCCTTCTCTTCTCCAGGCTGAACACCCCAACTCTCCCAGCCTGGCTCCAGAGCTGCTCCAGCCCAAGGATCACCCTCAAAATATCAAGACACTTTCAGAACAGACCTGAGCTTCAAGGTGGGAAACCTAGTAGAGACTTCCAGGACACACCAGTTTTAACTGGGTACATTAGCAGAACTCTCACTCCACACTGACCTGCAGCCCTTTGCTTTCTGGAGAGAAAAACCTTGTCTGTGACCCAACCCTGCCCTGCTCTCCTGGCAGAGTGGGGCAAATCCAGCCTTGTTTCAACATGTCTCAGTCCTAGTAGAGCAAAACTGCAAAGTAATGATGCCAAGTGGAGTTAATGGGCACCAAGGGACCCTTAAAACCATCTCTTGTCCACATGGAAATTCTAGGAATCTGGATAGTCCAATTTCACAGAAACTTCTGGCCATTAAACACATCCCACAGCAACACCACATCTCTCTCTGCCCCTTCCTTGGAGAGGAATATGAGTGACTTGCAGAAAATTTCAATAAGCAACTTGTAAATAAAACCAGATATTTTTTTTCTGGCCCAGTTGTTATGTTGATCCTTTTCCAATCAAAATGAATATGTGCACATAATATACATATATATATGTAGCTATATGAAATATGGACACATTTACACTTATTTTCTTTTACAGGTGAAACTAGTTAAAGTGGAAGGAAGAGAACTAAAAATCCCCATCCAGCTTTAATAATAGTTTTTGTATTTACAAAAATAAATAAATATAAACATCTGCTCCCACACAGGGAACACCAGGCAATAATTGCAAAGCTCCCAATTCACTTGGAAGCAAAAGGAATGAATTAATTTTTTCCTTCATCACTTGTGTGCCTTTCAATTCAGCAGAGTGGGAAATGCCATAAAAACTGCTAATATCCAAAGAATGCAGCGTATCATCCCAATTATTCCTTATAATGGGTGCAGCTCAAGGAGAAACAGAAAACAGTGCAGTAAAATATTTTGTGTTCTTTCCAAAAAGGGAATGTTTTGAAGTGTGCTGAGTGCTCTAGTCGGACACTCACCCCATGAATGAAATGGATCTCTGAACTTGGAAGGAAAGATGAGAAAATTCCATTGGAGGGGACTTGGATGCCCAGTAGGACACCTCATGTGGGCTGATTTATTGCAGGGGGGGTTGGTGGCCAGGTCCCTGGTAGCAGCACAGGCTGTGGAAGACCTGAGAAGTCAAATGAATGCACAGGCAGAAAGTTTATTGCCACCTTGTGAGAGCTACTCCAGTAGGATGTTTGAACTAGCTCAGATTTTTGTGTGCATTGAAGGTGACTCCTGACCTTTGATCCTAATATCTATCTCTTCTGTGTCTCTAGCATCCAAAAATTCGTGGCTGATGAGCTATCATACCTAGAACCCACCACTGCAAACTTGTGATGAGACCTATGACAAGGAGAGCAGACAGCTTTAGTAAGTGGGGACAACTTTGTAACCTAAAGATGGGCTTTATCTTCCCCAAACACAGGGACAATGGAATGTCTCTGGCTGAGCTTTCTACACAATGAAAAGAAACATATACTTCTAGAGACAGGTTCACCTCCCTTCAAGTTTTATATTAGGATGTGGTGTATCACACCCTTGAATCAACCATCCTTGATTCAGCTGCCTGTGTTGACTATATTGACCCAGCTGACCACAGGTGGAACCTGGGGTGAGTAGATTAAATGAAGGTGTTCTCTTTTGTAGACATCTGCTTTTCTGCAGATGAACTCTAGCTTTTCTTCTGATTGCTTATAATCCCTCTACTGTCCCTTCTAAAATGTCATTTTTCAGAGGTGAGGGTCTCTGGAGTCAAGGCTGAGAGCTTCCCAAGATGAGGTATCTGTGTAGCTTTGCTATGTGTGGACTGTCAGGCTGATGGCACAGATGTTACAACACAATAATGTCACCGTGGGTCACAGAGAGAGGAGCTCCAGGTAGAAAATCAGACAAGGTACAGGCTGTGGTGGGATATCTGCACACTGTGGAATGCAAGAAGTGATGTCCCCTGTGCTGGGATGGCCAGGGGACTTTCCACAGCTGTACACTTCAGGTGGCATCAGAGAAATGTTGAAAATAGTGATTGTAGGTAGAAACGAACACCTCAACCTTGAATTTACCTTTGAGATCCATGGGGAATTTCCTCAGCTATGGGGCTGGGCAATCCCTCTGGGCCAGTGGATTGAGAGGGACTGGGAAGAAATGGGGAGACCTAATGGAGGATGAGGAAAGTGGGAGAGCTAGTGTTCCTCAGTAGGGTGGAAAATCCCCCCAAAAGAGATGAGGTGTTGAACAAGAAAGGACAGAGGTATGAAGCCTGGGGACCCAGCTGCTCTTGGGATACTCACAAACTGTGATTTATCTGCTGGAGGTGCTTCAGTGATGGATTTCAGGTCTTCCTCTGAGATCCGTTCCATCTCCTCCAGAGCTGACCCAGAGTACAGGACCGCGTCCTTCACGAAGATGCTCACGGCTCTCAGCATGAAGGAGACAAACAGGTGCATGTGGATGTAGTTCCTAGTGCAGTGCAAACGCCTGGAGGAGGAGACAGGGAAGGGTTGGAATAGTTTAGCCCAGTTGGACAGACTCTGGGTCATCTCTTCTTCCGAAGAGCCCCAGCTCCTCTCACCAGCACTGTGCCACCACAGGGAAGCAGTGCTAGTGCCAGTGCTGCCCTGCACAGGGAAGAAATGTTTTACCATCAGGGTGGGGAGAGCCTGGCCCAGGTTGCCCAGGGAAGCTGTGGCTGCCCCATCCCTGGGGGTGTTGAAGGGCAGGTTGGATGGGGCTTGGAGCAGCCTGGGCTGCTGGGAGGTGTCCCTGCCCATTGCGGAGACAGTGGAACTAGATGACCATTAAAAGCCCTTTCCAACCCAAACCATTATGTGATTCTGTGATTTCCCCATGGGGTTGGTAACAAATTAATTTAATGAAGTAATGAATTCAATAAATGAATGAATTAAACTCGGGGGGTTGGTCACAGAGCACCACTGCTGACTTTGCACCAGCACCATGTCATGCCTCGACTCGTTTAAGCTCCATTATTTCTGACTGGGAAACCTTGGAAAGGAACAGGGATGCGTTTTGCCTGTGTCAGGCTTGGGCAGTGAGCCTGCATGCAGTGGGCAGTGAGTCTGCATCTGGAGGCTGCTGTGTGCAGTGCACATGCAGCTGCAGGAGGGTGTGTGACAGGCAATTCACGCTGCACGTGTGCAAATCTGGAGTGCACCGTGCATGCAGTGCATGTGCAGGGTGTGTTCAGGGTGTGTGCAGTGCCCATGCAACTAGTCCGCAACTGTTTGCACAGGCAGGACACTGTGTGTGCAGTGCATGTGCAGCTGGAGGCAGTGAGAGGCACATTCAGCATGAAGCACATGTGCAGAGTCTGCACATCTGGTGACCGCTGGGATGAACGCAGCGGGTGCACAGACAATGTGCAGGGTGTCTGCAGTGAGCATGCAGCCAGCATGCAGGGGACACCCAGGGGATGAACATCTGGCATGCAGTGTGTGTGCAGTGAGCCCAGCACAGCTGTGCAGTGTGTGCAGGGTGTAGGCACCCTCATCCCTGGTGTTCAGTGCACGTGCAAGGAGAGAGCATCAAGCACGCAGCCCAAGGAGCACAGGCAGAACCCAGGACACATGCACAGCACTCACTGGTACTACAGTGTGGATCCTGTGTGTGTGTCCCTTTCAGCCTGAAATCCAACCCTTCAACAAACCTACCCCTCTCAGGGTAAAACCCTGCATGTAAAGACTTCACACTCATCTGCACTTTGTGCAGAGGAAATGGGCTCCAAAGGCCACTAAAAGCCTCGTAAAGCTTCTTGTCAACTGTGCCCACTCCAAATGTAGCAGCAACTACAGCAGTAGCTATAGTGTGCTGGGCTGTTTTCTCTGTTTGTCATCAAGCCACTGTCCTTGGCTTGGTCCTACTGAGCCTTTTCTGGGCTCCACTCCAGCAATGGCAGCAATGACCCCACAAATGCTGATTGTAAAGCGCTTTAAGATCCTTTTTTTTTTTTCGGGGGGAAAAAGCTGGATGGTGAGATGGGAATGAGTTAAACCCAGATATGTTTTAGAAACTGATCTTGCCTTTGGGGAGAAGGAACTAACTGACCTATTGAGGACCCCATCTGTCCTCTATAGCTGTTTTGCCTGACTAGCCATGCATGAGCCTGTTAATGGGTTTACACTCTCTCAAATCCCCAGACTCAAGAATGGAAATAAGAAATAATAGCTGTGTTTTTTGGTTTTTTCTTTTCTCTTATGGGGGAGATTGTCACAGTAATAACAGTTGTTTCCTGTGCTGTTACAATACAAATGATGCCAAGTGGAACTGCTGAGGTATAAATGAAGTTGGGCTTTGTTCCCTGCATTTGAAATGTAGTCAGTGAATCCCTGGGTTATGTGTTATTTGGGAAAAAAATCTGGCTTGGTCCCTGCTGCTGATTTGATCCCTGGGACAAAGATGCTCTAGCACACTTGTCTGTGTAGTCTGGGCTGTAAGTGATGTGCTCTGACTACAGACTGTGTCTCCTGAAACCAGAAGTGCACTTGCATACACAGACATTAAGTATTTTAACAAACTTGCCAGTGCCCACTGGGAAATGAAACAGGAGGGCAAGGGATGAGAGGACAGTAGGGTGGTGGCAGGGATGGGTTCTGGGACTACATCATATGAAATCCCTCCAGGAGGGATCTGCTGTCTCCTTTGGCTCGTGTGTGTCGCACATCCGAGCACTGGGATGCTTTGCTATCCAAGCAAATCCCCCTGAGCTCCTTTTGCTCACTCCAGAGAGGGCTGAGCACTTTTAGAGCCGAGGGCCACACATTTTATTCCCAGTGGTAACATGTCTGGGGCTTAGCTGGAGCTTGCACGGTGGGACCTGCTGAGTTCATCTGCAGATTCCATGTGGCTGTTTGCTGCATGGAGAATTTCCCTCCACAGCTGTTGTCTGGGTCACTGCCAGCCACCAAAGGGAGACAAATATGGGGCTCAAGGAGTGAGGAATCAGCACCCAGCTCCACTTGCAGCTCCCCAGATATGGTTTCCAAAAGATCAGACTTCTAACTGGGAGTGAGAACCTTCATCCCTTCCCTGGTCTCTACATCACCAGGGAGATGCAACAGCCAGGTCTGAGGGCTGGAGAGCACGTGTTCAAAATGCTATTTAGGGGCCTACATCTCATGGCAGGGGTGGTGGAAAGGGAGAGCATAAACTCAGAGTTAGGAGAGTGAGTGATCATTTTTGACTCCACAGGTACAGCAGCAGCATGGGGGGGCGGTGCTGGAGGAGTCAGTCCTGAAATCTTACATGAATAAGATCCACTTCAACTGCTCTGTCCCACATGAATTTTTTGGGTGTAGAATGGAATCTCCCTTCTGAAGCCTTAGCTATCTAAAAAGTAGCCACCTAAATCTAAGACAACGATCTGCAGGGATGATGGGGACAGAAAGCCTCAGATAGTCTTCCAGAGAGGCATCTCATCTTCCTAGAGGAGCCCCTCTTCCTGTCTGCTACGAAGAGGGTCTAGAAAACTTCATTGCAAGTGGAAGAAGTTCAGACATCCCACCCACCATCCCCCAAGAAGTTTGACCTAAGTGACACTGCCACAGCCAAAACCCAGATGCAACCTCTCGTGGCTTGCTGAAGACGCACACGCCACCCCACCGTCAGCCTTCAGGAAAGCCCGAGGCTTTGCCACTCGAGTGCCAACTTGCTTAGGTAGAAACAGAGCCGCCTACCTGAAGTATCCCAGGATAAGGACAGCAACTGTGAGGGATCCCAGAGAGATGGAGTATCCAACAGTATAAATCAAATAGAGGCGATCAAAGACCTCCTGCAGTACAAACGATGGAAAAAATAGCGTCACATTAGAACGCGTCCGACTGCATCGTAACACAACCGTGGCAGCAGCACAGAGTCAGGCCACCAGACCTGCTGGGGAGGTGCAGCTCTGGCTCTGGGGAACCTTTAGCAATCACACTTGATATCATCTTTTTTTTTTTTTAAACTTAATTTCTTTTACATAAGAGCAGCTTGGAAGGCAGCACATCCAGCTTTCCTAATCACCGGAGGGGAGTTGGGGGTTGGTTTGTTTTTTTCCCGCAAGGGATGGAGTTGGGTTAATCCCACACCTGGGAGTTCTGCAGCATTTTCAGCCCAAAGGAACCCAAAGCGCTTTACAGCCAAATCCAGAGATCACGTGGCAGCTTTTGCTTGACCAAAAATGCCCACTGAATTGGGATTTTTGCTGGAACTGGAAAATTTAGGCTATGCCATACCATTGCTGACTGACTGATGTCCAGGCTGGTGGAGTGTCAACCCAGCACAGCAAACTTGGAAAGGATACACTTTGGCTGTGGGATAGCAGAAGAAATCACCTGCATTTATTTTTCTTTATTTTAAATCCAAAGCAGCCTACGACTGTGGTTATCCAATCCAGACACAACTTTAGCTTGCCAAAGTCCCATTGGAAAAGGTCCTGTCACAGGATAGCTCAGAGGAATTAATCCTGTAGCAGTTTTTAGTTTTCTTGGCCCTCTGTGTTTCAGAGTTGGTCTGAGAAACTGTGAGGTTTCTTTTGTTAAATATTCAGATGCTTTTCTTCGTCCTGGGCATGAAGTTTAACTCAGGGATTACTTAAAATCTTCCTAAAAAGGGTTAAAATGCCTGCTACCATCCTGCCTTGTACTTCTTTTCATAATCTGAAATTAGAAATCAACCCCAAAGAAACCAATTCAGCATCTTTCTCCTCTCTCCCTCCTCCCCTGCCTCCCGCCTTTCCCTCACCCCACCCGCTGGGCTGTAATAACACTAGTAACTCTGGGCTCTGAATGACAGCTCTGATTTTGATTTGAGGCTAGAAATGCTGTCCTGGAATGTGAAACCTCAGCCCTATTACATCAGAACCCCCAGATATGTGAATGTTTCTTTGCGGTTTCCATTGGAAGAGTCGTGTTCTTGCCAATATTAATGTAGTGTGTGTGTATGTATTTTTATTTATATATATATATATTTATATATATATCTGCAGCAGATATATATAAATATATATATCTGAGGCAGCAGGCACTAAAACAGCCAATGTGAGCAGATTCAAGAGATTTTAAGGAAAAGAAGAAAATAAAATGCTCCTTCCCTTCAAAGCCTGGTCCACTTTTCCCACTGCCAAGCTGGAATCCTCTTTGAACTGGAAAACAATTTGCCTCCATAGTGAAAATAAAATAAATAAATAATAAGGAAAAAAAATCCTACTCCAAGTTTAGGATTCTTGGTAACGTGTGGTAGTTGTGAAGTGTTACTCTACCCAGCTGGACAAAAGCATCCCTGAGCCTCATTCAGAAATTCAACCGGAAAGATCCACGTTCCTGTCAGACAACGACATCATTGTAGCAGCAATGGGCTCTGGAAGGGGCTGCTGATTGGCTGGCAGGACGTTTTTGGAGGCTGTGGTTAATTCCTCTGATTAACCACAGGGCCTCTTTTTGAAAGGATGTGGAGTCAGAACTGCCAAGACATACACGTGTGCATGTGTGCGTGCACGCTGGTGTGTCTGCCTTGCAGATGCCACAAACCTCACCCAGTGGCACCTTCAGGGAAGGGGTCCTTTTCAGATGGGGTGCTCAGGTCCTCGGGGAAGACCTCAGGAGCAAAATGCTGAGGTTCTCCAAAAGGCTCCACAGGGCAGTCTGTGTTTGCTACTTCCCGGGAGTGTTTGTGCTCAGGAATGGTGAGACCTGGATTTACCCAGGAGGGGGAAAAAAATCAAAAAGCTCTAAAGGCAATTCCAGGTCTCACTCACCTCCTAACACGAGGGAGGTCCCAGCTTGGTGGAAACCACAATGCTGAATCAGGAAAGGTCCTCCACGTAACAAAATATTGAGTCATCTGCCAGCTGAAACAACCACTTCCATGGTCTGAGAACCTCTTTTTGGAGCTGAGATGGATGGGAATTTAAGTAATTCACAGAAGACCACAAAGGTCCTGCGTGGCCAAGCCATGGACACAACCTGGACCTCCATAGTCTCAAGACAATGCACTACTTACTAGATCACCCTGCTACAGCAGGGTCTCTACTTAATGCCACTTCAAGAAAGAGACTGACCATCTCTTCTTCCACTGATCTGTTGGAAGAAGCAACCCACCCTGCAAAAATCTGGCCTTGCCACAACATGAGACCCTGCTTTAAGAAGTGTGATGCTTCAGCCAGTGTCATTTAATGTGATTCCTGCAGTAATCCTTCCCTGCTTCAACTGCTGACACGTGTGGACTGGAAAAAGAAAAGCTAAAGGAAAACCAGAAGGACAAAACCTCCACATCTGTGATTCCAGGGACTGGGATTAACAGCAAAATACAGTAACAGTCACACCACAGCACCAAGATTAGGGAACATCAGTTTGAAAAGTGGCATCCTGGAATATTGCCCTCTGCCCATGCCATTCCATGCTTTGCTGTGATGAGATTATGATGTGGAAGGTGTGGGACTGATCTGATTCTTCCTTTCTCTTACAGCTTTCCTGTGCTTCTTGCATCTGCCACCTCCCTAAGAAACACCCAACTTGTCCCCTTCTCCTGCCAGCAGGGAGGGCAGAAGAATGCTCTGGAAGCCTTCCCTTCACATGGCTAAGCCAGTCGTGGTTGGTCCTGGAAGATGCTGGGCAGGATGAGGCCCCTCTGATGTGGCTGAGCTGGTTTTGGGGTTAGTGAAATGACTTTCCATCAAGTCATGCACCATGCATCCTCCCTAGGTCACCAGCACACTTGGTGGTGCCCTCAGGCACTGCACAGCCTCAAGGCACATCCTTTCTTTCATCCTCTCAGGTCACACATTGCAAATCTCTACCAAACCACAGCCATCTACCTTGTACAGCCAGGTGACATGAGTCCACAATGAGCTAACCCACCTGATCCTGCCCCCCTCACCTCCCTCCAGCCATAACTCAGAGACTGATAACACACCAAACCATGACAACCTAAGTGCTGTGTCAGCTGCCCTGGGTGCTGAACGTGCAGCAAGATCTCCCTTTCTGTCTCCCTCCTGGTTTGGTGGGAGACTTACTCTCTGCTCCCCTTTGCATCTCAGCTTTCTACCAACCTGGCCTCAGGGCAGAAACTTCACAGCAGCCTGGTGGCTTTGGGAGAACAAGAAACCAAAACAGAGCTGGAGGTGACTCCTTGCATGAAAAAAACCCCACAAAATTAACAAAACCTGGTGGCTTTGGACACCCATGGGCTGGATGTGTCCCCCTTCAAAGGTCCCTGTATTCCCCCCTTCCCTTGGCTTGGACATCTTTCAGGTGTGTGGCCCTCAGAGCAGCTGGTTGTTACATTTTTATACTGTGCTTGGGGCTTAACCTGACTCCTAACTCATCCACTTCCACCAACAGGGAGATAATTTGCATTGATTTGCATCCAGAGGAAAACTGCTTTCCTCTGCAGGACAACTCAGAGCTACGTCAGGACACCAGGAGTGGGTTTTCAAGGCCCCATCCATTGTAAAACCACAGCTATGTTTTTGCTCACACGTTGCTACTGTGGGACAGTCTGTGTGAAGGGTATTTCTGCTCCCTCAAATTCTAGTGTGGGCACATGGAGTTGGTCACAGTGGATGTGGTCCTATCTCTGAGATATGAATGATGTGGTCACCTCCAGCAGAGGTCCCAGCAGCAGTATAAAAGGGGTGTTTTAGGCTGCAATTAATCCATTTTAGTCCCAGGATGGTGCCCTCAGCCATCACCTGCATTGACTGGGTTGTCACAAGAGGAGGCCAGAGTGACCAGCTCAGGTGTGTTTGTCTTTATATAAAATATAAATATGTCTGTGAAGAGTAGCTGAGGGAATTGGGGTATTTTAGTCTGGAGAGATGGAGGCTGAGGGGAGACCTGCTGGCTCTGCAGCTGCTGAGAGGAGGTTGGAGCCAGGGGGGTCGGGCTCTGCTCCCCAGGAACAAGGGATGGGACAAGAGGAACCGGCCTCAAGTTGTGCCAGGGGAGGCTGAGGTTGGATCTGGGGAACAATTCCTGCCTGGCAAGGGTTGTCAGGGCCTGGCCCAGGCTGCCCAGGGCAGGGGGGGAGTCCCCATCCCTGGAGGGGTTTCCAAGCCCTGGAGATGTGGTCCTCAGGGACATTGGACAGTGTTGGCCTGGGCAGGGCTGGGGGAATCATTGGACTGGATGATCTAAAAAGTCTTTCCCATCCAAAAAACGTCTATGATTCTATATAGCAAGTCCCATCCTTATGAATCTCATGTAAGAGGTCTTGTGACTCTCAGGACTTAACTCAATTGTCCTTCAATGTGTTTCATGTCTGTTTCAAGTGTCCTGTCTGTCTTCAAGTTGCTTTCACAGAAGGTAACAAGTTTCTTCTAGGTCCCACATTGCATCTGCAGTTCCCATTCAGCTGTCTCATAAATTCCAGGACATCTTACTTAACTCTGGGCATAAACATAACTCATGTTCCTGCATCTGGATGAAACATTCAGGACTTTGGTGTTCATGTGTCCTGTTCTTTTCTAGTGTCACAGAGAGGGATGTGGGTGACTGAGATGTGCATTTTCTAGATGATTGGTGGCAAATTCCACTCAGGGTAACATTGCACTGTACCTGCCTTATGAGGAGAGGCTGAGAAAACTGGGTTTGTTCAGCCTGGAGAAGAGAAGGCTTCAGGGAGACCTTATCACCATGTTCCAGTACTTAAAGGGTGGCTCCCAAGAGGGTGGAGACTCCCTATTCACAAGGAGTCATGTGGAAAAGACAAGAGGTCATGGGCACAAGTTGCTCCTGGGGAGGTTCTGGTTGAACACAAGAGGTGAATTTTTCCCCATGAGGACAGTCAGAC